AATATGTAAAGTTTGCATGGATTTATCAAAGCCACTGGTGCAATTTAAATTGTAGGATTTGATATAATTTTAATATCTATGTGCTGACAGCAAAAAATTTTAAGCACCCATTTTTTTTAATTGAAAAAAATACTATTGTAGAAATTTACTGGTAATAATTGTTGAGGAAATTATTAAAACGAAAGTAAATTTTTTGGGCCTTTGGCTATTTTCTCTTGTAAACTGGATGTTTATCATTTTTGGGAAGTTTGAAACCATTTAAATTTCATTCATAACCTTAAAAATCATTTGTTTGGTATCATAAAATTATGAATGAGCCTTGCTATCGTTAAATGTTTCAGTATTTTCTCTGCAGGTAGAAATTTATTCAACAATATTAAATTACGTTGAGTAGCAAATTAAAAGTTTTAGTAATTTATTGCAATCTAAAGTTTTTTTTAATGAAACAATCGTATAAGATATTTAAGAACAAACCAAACTAAATTTATTTTTTTTTGCTACAGTAAGTATTAAAATGTACATATATAAATTACAAGCTCAGATGTGTAAAACCTGTCAATGAAATCATAATATTTATCACATTAAAGTAAAATTATCCTATAAAAAAAACTCTTATGGAGTGTGCGAAAATAGAAAATGTGGTTTTTTCGTACTGTATGAAATAAGACCTTGTTAAGAATTTAATTAAAATTACAAATTAGGGAATTGTTCTATCAATCTTATTGAAATACTAATCTTGAATGCATCAATCGAAAGAAAAAAAATTGTTTTATTGTTCAAAATGAAACTGTATAATATATGGAGAGATTAAAAAAAATGTAATTGTTTGAATTTTCCCTAAGTAAAACTAAAATATGTATAAGAATATTTTTTTCACCTGAATAATACAACAAACTGTTTAAAAAAATCAAGAAATCGTCAAGAGGTATGACAACCTTAAAAAGCTATGACGATTGTTTTTCCCAAGCCATCGTAACAATATGAAAAAGTAATCCTGCTGAGTCCTGAATCATTGACATCGGTCAAAAATTCTGAGATCACACACATGCAAGCATACGAATACGCACAAAAGATTTTTTATGATCTACCAAGTATTTAGTTAGTTATCAATGTTACTATCATTCAAATTATTACCTTTAAAATTATGAATTAGCCTTGCCGGCTATAACTATTAACGTAATAAATTATTTAATAGTCAGTTGTTGCGTAGGATTCTATGTACGTGACACAGTATTAAAAATAAAATTTTTTTAACGTGCCCGAAAAAAAAAGTGTTGAGACAATATTCATAAATTAAAATGAAAGTTGCAATAAGAAATTGAAATAGAATACTGAATTATATTAAAAAAAAAAAAAAAAATCTCATGGCAATCAGAATTGAACCCCAAATCGCCAAAATATGCCGTCAAAGGCATAAGCCCTAGTCATCTCAGCTATTCAAACTTCGGACCTCATAGAACCTAAAGTCACATATGTTCATTGATACCCTCCGGAGCTTGGCCTACAGTTCATAGCGATTATGATAAGTAAAAATAATAATTTATATTTAAGGTGCTTATAGCCATACTATCAACCTCAAAAAATATTTCAAGCTAAATATTTTTTCAACGTACTTTGATACGCAGTACTAAACGAAAATCCAAAGTATAAGAAGAACTAAAAAATAAATGCCTTGAAAGTCTGAGGTTCCAATTGCGTAAACATTTATTTGTATGATTTAATTTTCGAAAAATAATATGGCTAGCCTCTCTTAAACTTTCATATGTTATAGAGAATTGTAAATTAAAATAGGTTTTTTTATTTTACAAATATTAGATGTGAAATCTTTTTTTCTTCTCTATTTCCCCTTAATTTCTAAGACCTTATTTAAGAAGTTAGTAAGTATAAGTATATAGCGAGAAAGACTCGTTGCTTTCTTTCGCTATGATATACGCGGGTATATATAGTTATATAGCTGTAGTCGGCATTTCCATGCACACCACTCCTCTCTCCGTAGGCACATATTCAGTATACCCCTTCCACGCGTCTCCGAAGTATGTGCCTACACGCCCATTTCCACGCGAATCTGTAGGCACACACTCGGTATACCCCCTCCACGCTTCTCAAATAAAAAAAAAAATATGTGTGCCTGGTTAGACAGCTTGGCCACGACGGGGCGCTCGAAACAGTGGCCAAAAGTGAACTCGCGCCGTAGCATTGCAGTCAGCAATCTCTCTACTAATCTCTGCACGTGCTACCTTGCCTATGATTACGGTATCTTGAATAAAGGTCCTTGAAATAATAAGTGTTGATTATTTTCACAAAGCACCTCCTTACCAATATCTTCCCTATGTAACAGTGTTGATGCTAAATGTCAGGTACGATAAGAGTCGGAATTTTTTTTCTCTCATTGTACTCGTTTCAAAAAAAAATTCCGCTGAGAAGCACTCATAGTGCAGTGCCGCGAGAATACGACAATTTGAAATTAGGAAGCCGAGGATCCGATCAGAGGCAACAGAACCAGTTAACAAGCAGCAAAGACAGCAGCCCGGAAGCCAGTAGGACTAGGGTAACAATTGCTGATAATCACAGGATCAAGAAGACAAGAGGCAAAGGAAATAGTCCCAGAAATTTTATTCCTATTGGTGTGATCGACTAGCACGTGAGTACATATTTCAAAAAATTAATTGTATCCCTTACTTCCAAGGCAAAATAGGAGAGGAACTAATTAGGTAGAGATAAGAGCGTTGGATTTTTATTTTTGATATATATATAAATATATATATAT